TAATTATGTATAATTATATATATAAATTCATATATAATTTTACATAATTACGCATAAATTTGTATGTAATTATACATATTGTTATACATAATTGTGTATAATTTTATATGATTATATTAATATATAATTATACATAATTATGTATGGACAAATTTCATACAAAATTTTGCATGAAAAATTTTTCATCGGGTTGTTATTAACTACTACCTTAACTTTATGGTACAGCTACATACATTACGCTTTCACACATTCTTACATGTAAAGTATCTTATCCCCATGGCGCGTATTTAACAATACACCTAAATAATAACAACCAATCGAGAATCAACTTAGTATTTCTGTTGTATTGTACAGTTAGTTGCGTTGATGCTATACCATTCCCCAGATCGATAGTCACTAAAAAGTTTTGACCAGCCGTGTCCGTTTCTAGCTAATCGTTTTTCATAACTGTTGATTCATTCGGCAAGCGGGAATGTGTTAAAATAGAAATGATATTTTGACAGCTTGACGTTTCATATATACGTGTTTTTATCAGAAGGTTATCCGTTCACGTGTAACGCGCAATTAGTAGAAGAAAAGTAAGAATGTTAAAAAAGGTAAGTAAGAAGTTAATATACAAAATTATAATAAATTTATACACGTACAGACACAAAGAGTCTCTGCTTTTAATATTGTCCCGCGATTTACTCTCAAATTATTCGTTATTAATAAACATTCTATTCGAATAAAGTAAAAACTTCTTATTTATCTTTTTTTAACATTCTTACTCTTCTTCTACTGATTGCGCGTTACACGTGAACGGATAACCTTCTGATAAAAACACGTATGTATGAAACTCAAGCTGTCAAAATGTCACTTTTATTTTGACACATTCCCTCTTGCTGGATAAATCAATAGTTATGAAAAATGATCAGCTAGAAACGGACACAGCTGGTCAAAACTTTTTAGTGATTATCGATCTGGGGAATGGTATAATATCAACGCAACTGTACTGTTACGTCCACGATAGATAACTATATAGGGAAATTTGAAAGTAGTGAAGTCAGTGACTTACGTGGACGGTCAACAGAGTGATGGCTCCGCTTTTGGGTCACTCTGCTTTTCACCGAGTTTACCCTGGGTCTCGGGAGCCTGGCGAAACGATTGATGAATCTGGCGGAAAATCAGCGGTGCTTGTTCTCCTGGCTCAGCCTCGGAAGTTCCGATACCACGCGGGTTGATGCGGCCCGTGATTCAGAATTTGATTTCGCAATGTTTGAAATATGAAGGGTAGGCAAAAGTAATTGCAACACAGTCGGATTTTACGACTAAGTATAATATGCTGAATAAGTACACGAAGCTACCAGAGACTAACTATGAGAAGAAAATAATTATATATATTGCCTTCTCTACAAATGCGCGCGCTTTTATATGTCGCTTTGTCGCTGAGAGTCGTTCTCCGATTGGTCCATGGAGTTATGGCGAGGGAAGAGATTCATTCCTTTGCATGATGTCACCGCGTCGGTGTCCTGAGTGGTGTTTAGGATTCAGCTTTCATGCTCCTGTTTATGTTGGCTTATCGCACTGAGCGATAGCGGTTTCTTTGGGTCGATCCGAGATCCGTCGATTTCGAGACTCTCCAGCAGCACGCAGCATTCGGCATTTTAATTATAATGTTTTAACGCTCGCGAATATGCATATGCGCACGTACTTACATCTAGTAACATAGGGATATAATATCTAGTGATGTCTGAAATCAGACAAGTCGGCCTCCCGGTCTATAATAATATATTGTTAATGTTCTAAAATAGATCCGGACGTTACAGTACAATATAAAGTCTGATCTTTTATTGGTTAGCTTTAAGGCCATTCTACAATTGCGTAAGCGTGGTTGTAAATGGTTGTAGATGATTACGACAACCAATCAAAATAAAGCAATTAGTAAATAAAACACTCTAATTGGTTAATTCTTACGTTCACGACTACGCTTACGCAATTGTAGAATGGCCTTTAGGAAGTTATTGGTTACGCTTTACGCGAATTTAACGAAATACGCGTCATGGGGATTAGGTATTGAATGTCGACTTGCAAAATGGCATAACTTCTAGTAAATTACTATATTACGCAGATTACGCTTACGCAAGTTACGCCGCATAAGGAGGCGTAATAAAGATTGTGTTACAGAGATGCGCGAATGAGAGAGAACGCAGAGTCTCAAAACGGGGTGGGACCCGATTGACCACGATACGATTGGACACAGATTATAATGATTGGTTCGACCTAGTAATTCACTAGATAATTCTTTTCATCGGTTGGTTGTGTCCAAACGTACTGTGGTCAATCGGGACGCTCCCCTCAAAACGCAATGCATCCTTTTCTACGTACCTCTAATCCTCAGGGTGGAGTCCTATGGAGCGTATTGTGCGTATCGCGGATTGCGCGTATCGAACATTTGACCAATCGCAGACGTTCCGCTGCTTTCGAAACGCTGCCGTTCTGCCGTTCTGCCGTTCTGCTGGCAATCTATTATTTTCTGCAATACGCAGAATATCTTGACTGCCAATCAAAAAGTGCCACAATATAACAAAAATTTTAGTCTTTATGCATTTTTTAAACAAATGAATATCACAAATAAAGAAAATATAAATCCTGTGAGTATTTATAGCAAATATTATTTTTGTAATGATTGTATATACATTATGTTTTAATATTAATATTTATATATTATATATATATAAATATTTATATATTAATATATTATTATATTTAAATATTATTATATTTATTATTATTATTATTATTATTATTATATTAATATATTATTATATATATAAATATTTATATATTATATATTATTATAATATTTAAAGGTTAGTTTAAAATTTGATGATGCATATTTTTGTTTAGTTTGCACACATTATTTTGGTTTAATATATTATATATACTATATATATATATATATATATATATATATATATATATATATATTGATATATTATTAATAACACAATTGATAGCAATATCGTTTCCAATTTCATTCTGCACTTGTTAAGCAAATTGTAAAATTTTATTTAATTGTATTGAATAAATTAATAAATTCAGTAAAATTCATTTTAATTATACATATAGAATATTTTTTCGCTTGCTCTTTACTACGATCCAATGTCAGACTATTCGCTATTTTCGGTACGCGAGAGTTTTGTTCCTATGGTCCCATGGAACGGAATTATTGTAAGAGGATTGGCAGTTCGCCAATCACAAAACTGTTTAGGAGAAGGAAATAAAGAAATCGTTTCGTGATTGGCTATCCACCTACTACGCTTATGGCTCCAGCACATAGGACGCGGTAATGCTTGCCGCGCGGTGGAAGTTCCGCTTAAATTGTGCTTCATGTAATATAAGGAGAAATAAAGTCGTGGAACAAGCGCGGAAAAATCCATTGTCACAAGTTGTCACAAGTTATCACAAGTTGTTCAACCTATCCGCCGTACATTAAGACGTGTTCAAACACGTTCGGACCTGATATTTTTTTGGAATTCATATCTTGGTACCATGGATGAAAAAACAATAGAGAAAAG